GGGCGCTGGGGGGTCCCATGGGTGCTGGGGGGTCCCATGGCTGCTCTGGGGTCTTCGTGGGGCCCCCGTGGGCGCTGTAGGGTTCCCATGGGTGCTGTTGTGTTCCCATGGGTGCTATGGGGTCACCATGGGTGCTCTGGGGTCCTGAGTGCTGTGGGGTCCCATGGGTGCCATGGGGTCCTGAGTGCTGGGGGGTCCCCGCGGGGTCCCCGTGGGGTCCCGTGGGCACTGTGGGTATCCATGGGGTCCCTGTGGGTTCTGTTAGGGCTCCGGTGGGCGCTGTGGGATTTTTGGGCGCTGTGGGGTCGCTGTGGGTGCTGTGGGCTCCCATGGGGTCCCTGTGGGTGCTGTGAGTTCCCCGTGGGTGCTGTGGGGTCCCTGTAGGTTCCCGTGGGTGCTGTGAGTGTCCATGGGGTCCCCATGGGTGCTGTGGGGTTCCCATGGGTGTTATGGGGTCCTGAGTGCTGTGGGGTCCCCGTGGGGTCCCCGTGGGTGCTTTGGGGTCTCCATGAGGTTCCCGTGGGTGCTGTGGGGTCCCCGTGGGGCTCCGGTGGGCGCTGTGGGATCGCTGTGGGTGCTGTGGGGTCCCCGTGGGGTCCCCGTGGGTGCTGTGGGGTCTCCATGAGTTCTCTGGGGTCCCCATGGGTTTCTGTGGGGTGCCCATGAGGTTCCCATGGGTGCTGTGGGTGCTCTGGGGTCCCGTGGGCGCTGTGGGGTCACTGTGGGGTCCCGTGGGTGCTGTGGGGTCACTATGGGGTCGCTATGGGTGCTGTGGGGTTTATGGGTGCTGTGGGTGCTGTGGGGTCCCCATAGGTGCTGTGGGTTACACATAGGGTCCCCGTGGGTGCTGTGGGGTCTCCATGAGTTCTCTGGGGTCCCCATGGGTTTCTGTGGGGTGCCCATGAGGTTCCCATGGGTGCTGTGGGTGCTCTGGGGTCCCGTGGGCGCTGTGGGGTCACTGTGGGGTCCCGTGTGTGCTGTGGCTTCTGCAGGATCGCTGTGGGTGCTGTGGGGTCCCTGTGGGGTCCCATGGGTGCTGTGGGGTCCTGAGCGCTCCGGGGTCGCTGTGGGTGCTGTGGGGTCCCTGTGGGGTCCCATGGGTGCTGTGGGGTCTCCATGAGGTTCCCATGAGTGCTGTGGGGTTCCTGTGGGATCGCTGTGGGTGCCATGAGGTCCCATGGGTGCTCTGGGGTCTCCATGGGGTTCCCGAGGGCGCTGTGGGGTTTATGGGCGCTCTGGGGTCCCCGTGGGTGCTGTGGGGTCCCATGGGTGCTATGGGGTTCCCATGAGGTTCCCATGGGTGCTGTGGGGTCCCTGTAGGGTCCCATGGGCGCTGTGGGGTCCCTGTGTGTTCCCATGGGTGCTGTGGGAACTCTGTGGGTGCTCTGGGGTCTCTGTGGGGTCCCCGTGCCGTCCCGGTTGTCGCCATGGGCTCCCCGTGTCCCCTACACCCATCAACAGGAGCGCTTAATTAATTACACCTGCCAAAATGGCGCTTAATTAATGACACCCGTCCAAAATGGCGCTTAATTAATGACACCCATCAACCCCCACGGGAACACTGGGGACATTGGGGGGACACTGAGTGACACTGGGGACATCGGGGGACACGGGGACACTGGGGGGACACTGGGGACATTGGGGACATTCGGGGACACTCCCTGGGGCAGTGACACGGGCACAGGGTGACCCCGTGTCCCCAATGTCGCCAATGTCCCCAATGTCCCCAATGTCCCGTGTCCCCCGATGTCCCCAGTGTCACTCCCCAAGTGTCACGTCCCTGTCCCCATGTCCCCGCTGTCCCCACAGCTCTGGTGTCCTCAATGTCCCCCCAATGTCCCCCCAATGTCCCCAATGTCCCCAATGTCCCGTGTCCCCCGATGTCCCCAGTGTCACTCCCCAAGTGTCACGTCCCTGTCCCCATGTCCCCGCTGTCCCCACAGCTCTGGTGTCCTCAATGTCCCCCCAATGTCCCCCCCAAAATGTCCCCAAAATGTCCCAAAATGTCCCCAAAATGTCCCAAAATGTCCCCAAATGACCCCAAATGTCCCCAAAATGACCCAAAATGTCCCAAAATTACCCCAAAATGGCCCCAAAATGACCCAAAATGTCCCCAAAATGGCCCCAAAATGATCCCAAAATGACGCCAAATGACCCCAAAATGACCCCAAATGTCCCAAAATGGCCCCAAAATGTCCCAAATTGTACCCAAATGTCCCCAAATGACCCCAAAATGTCCCCAATCCCCCCCTGGCAGCCGCGAGCAATTAACGAAATGGCGCTTAATTGATTACACCCATCAACAGCGGCGCTTAATTAATTACACCTGCCAAAATGGCGCTTAATTAATGACACCCGTCCAAAATGGCGCTTAATTAATGACACCCATCAACAGGAGCGCTTAATTAATGACACCCATCAACAGGAGCGCTTAATTAATGACACCCATCAACAGGAGCGCTTAATTAATGACACCCATCAACAGGAGCGCTTAATTAATGACACCCATCAACAGGAGCGCTTAATTAATGACACCCATCAACCCCCACGGGAACACTGGGGACATTGGGGGGACACTGAGTGACACTGGGGACATCGGGGGACACGGGACATTGGGGACATTGGGGACATTGGGGGGACATTGGGGGGACATTGAGGACACCAGAGCTGTGGGGACAGCGGGGACATGGGGACAGGGACGTGACACTTGGGGAGTGACACTGGGGACATCGGGGGACACGGGACATTGGGGGGACATTGGCGACATTGGCGACATTGGGGGCACGGGGTCACCCTGTGCCCGTGTCACTGCCCCAGGGAGTGTCCCCGAATGTCCCCAGTGTCCCCAATGTGTCCCCCAATGTCCCCATTGTCCCCAGGGTCTCCATGTCCCCAACTCCCCATTGTCCCCTCAGTGTTCCCATGTCCCCATTGTCCCCAGGGTCTCCATGTCCCCAACTCCCCATTGTCCCCTCAGTGTCCCCATTGTCCCCAATGTCCCCTCAGTGTCCCTTCAGTGTCCCCAATGTCCCCCCAATGTCCCCAATGTCCCCTCAGTGTCCCCAGGGTCCCTCCAATGGGACACAGGTGGCACACAGAGGGGACACTGAGAGGACACAGAGGGGACATTGGGGACACAGAGGGACTGGACCCTCGGGGTGGCGCCGGGGCCGGGGGACAGCGCTGTCCCCAAGCGCTGGGACAGGGACACGGAGCGGGAAGCTGGAGGTGGCCCCGAGGGACGGGGAGGGGACAGCGGGGACACTGAGGGGACACTGAGGGGACAGCGGGGACAGCGGGAGTGGCACGGGGGGAACTTTGGGGACATTTAGGACCCTGGGGCGGCACTGGGGACATTGGGGACATTGGGGGGACACTGGGGAGGCACTGGGGACACTGGGGACACTGGGGGGACATTTAGGACATTGGGGACATTTGGGACACTGGGGACACTGGGGACACCGGGGGGACAATGGGGACATTGGGGACACTGGGGACACTGGGGTGGCACCGGGCGTGTCCCGAGTGACCCGGGCGGTGCCCCCGCCCCCCCCACGGCTGGCCCTGTCCCTCTGTGTCCCCCCCTGTCCCAGGTGTCCCCCGGGGGGGGGTGTCACCCGCCCCCCTCCCCCCGCAATGACGTCACTGCGGAGCCGCGCCCCTCCCCCAGCCCAGCTGGCGGCCCAGGTGTCCGGGGGGGAGGGGCGGGGGGCCCACGGTGCCACCAGATGTCCCCAATGTCCCCAATGTCCCCCCGCGGCCCCCGGGGGGCGTGGTCTCACGAAAGGGGGCGTGGCTTCACGGTCAGAGCCCCGCCCTCACCGCAGGCCCCGCCCCCGCGCGCTTTACGGCCGTTTCCCGGCGGTTTCCCGGCGGTGTCGCGCTTTACGGCGGTTTCACGGCGGTGTCGCGCGGAGCAGCCGGAGGCTCTCAGGTCGGTCCCGGGCGGGTTTTGGGGGGTCCCGGGGGTCCCTCCCCACCCCGAGGGCACCGGGAGCGCCCCCGCCGTGTCCCCAGCCCCTCCGCGCCGCCCCCGCTGCCCCCGTGCGCGTTCCCGCATCGCCCGAGCGCTGCTCCCCTCAGAGCCCCCCGAGGTCCCCCCTGACCCCCGTTTCCCCCCCCAGGCCGCCATGGACTCCCGTTTCACCCGCGGCAAGTCCCCGGTGCTGGAGCGGGCGCTGGGCCGGCCGCGCTCCGAGCTGTCGCTGGCCGCCTTCGCGCTGCTCTTCTCGGAGCTGGTGCAGTACTGCCAGCGCCGCGTGGCCTCGGTGGCCGAGCTGCAGGCCCGGCTGGCCCAGCTGGGCCACCACGTGGGGCTGCGAGCCCTGGACGCGCTGGTGGCCCGCGAGAGGCCGGGCAGGCGCGAGACCAAGGTGCTGGGGGTGCTGCTCTTCGTCAAGGGCCCGCTCTGGCGGGCGCTGTTCGGGCGCGAGGCCGACAAGCTGGAGCAGGCCAACGACGACGAGCGCACGTTCTACGTGATCGAGAGGGAGCCCGTGGTGAACACGTTCGTGTCGGTGCCGCGCGAGAACAGCTCGCTGAACTGCGCCGCCTTCGCCGCCGGGCTGCTGGGTGAGGGGTGGGAACGGCCTGGAGAGGTGCTGAGATGAGGGGACACGCGGGGATTTGGGGGTGGGAGGGACAGGGGCAGTCTGGAGGGGGACAGGGACAGCCTGGCCTTGTCACACAGTGCCCTGGGGACACAGGGGACATGGCAGTGAGGGACAGGGCCAGCCCCGAGGCCGTGCTGGGCGCCGCCGGCTTCCCCGCCCGCGTCAGCGCCCACTGGCACAAGGGCACCACGCTCATGATCAAGTTCGACGAGGCCGTGATCGCCCGCGATAAGAGCCTGGAGGGACGCTGAGACACTGGGGACACGGGGACACGGGGTGGGGACAGCCTGGAGGGACACTGAGACACTGGGGACATGGGGACATGGGGTGGGGACAGCCTGGAGGGACGCTGAGACACTGGGGACACTGGGGTGAGGGGTGGGGACAGCCTGGAGGGACGCTGAGACACTGGGGACATGGGGTGGGGGCATGGGGACAGCCTGGAGGGACGCTGAGACACTGGGGACACGGGGTGGGGACAGCCTGGAGGGACGCTGAGACACTGGGGACACGGGGACACACGGGGTGGGGACAGCCTGGAGGGATGCTGAGATTGGGGGGACAACCTGGAGAGGGATGGGGACACGGGGGTGAGACGCTGAGACACTGGGGACACGGGGACACGGGGTGGGGACAGCCTGGAGGGACACTGAGACACTGGGGACATGGGGACATGGGGTGGGGACAGTTTGCAGAGGTGCTGAGATGAGGGGACACACGGGCACTTGGGGGTGGGAGGGACAGGGACAGTCTGGAGCAGCTCTGAGACACGGGGGGGACATCATGGGACAGGGCTATGAGGGACAGGGACAACGTGGAGAAGGACAAGGACACTGTGGGACAAGGTTGTGAGGGACAGGGACAGCCTGGAGAGGGACAGGGACACAGGGGACAGGGCTGGGAATTGAGGGGACAGCCAGGAGAGGGACAGGGACACAGGGGACAGGGCTGGGAATTGAGGGGACAGCAGGAGAGGGACGGGGACAGCCTGGCCTTGTCACACAGTGTCACAGGGACAGCCAGGAGAGGGACAGGGACACCATGGCCTTGTCACACAGTGTCACAGGGACAGCCTGGACAGGGACACGGGGACAGGGCAGTGGCAGAGGTGACAGAACCCTGTCCCCTCTGGAGAGGGCTGGGGACACCGTGGCCTTGTCACACGGCTGTGAGGGACAAGGCCAGGAGGGACAAAGAGCCTGGACAGGGACACGGGGACAGGGACAGGGACAGTGTGGCCGTGTCACTCATCGTTCCTTGAGGGGTGGTGGCCCTTGGGGACGTCGGAGCTGCTCTGTGTCCCTCGTTGCTGTCCCGAGGTGGCCCTCGGGGACGCTCGTGTCACCATAAACCGCCTTTGTCCCTCCCGTGGCCTCGTCTCTTCTTTGGCTGGGGACGTTTTGGGTGTTCCCTGCGTCCCTTGGAGCCCGTGGGGACATCTGCCACCCCCTTGGGGACAGAGTTTGGGGTGGGGCTTTGGGGGATATTTTGGGGTTTTTTGAGGTTTTTTGGGGGGGGGAGTGGGGTTTTATTTTGGTTTTTTTTTTAAGGTTTTTTGGGGGTTTTGGGTTTCTTTTGGGTTTTTGGGGGGTTTTAAAGGTTTTTTAAGGGTTTGGGGGGGAATTTTGGGGTTTTTTATTGAGTTTTTTTGGAGGGTTTCTTTGTTTTGGGGGTTTTGGTTTTTTGTGGAGATTTTTTTTTGGGGTTTTTTTTGTTTTTTTGGGGGGGTTTTGGGGGAATTTTTGGAATTTTTTCTTTGTTTTGGGTTGGGGTGTGTTGGGTTTGTTTTGTTTTGTTTTGTTTTATTTTTGGTTTTGTTTTGGTTTGTTTTATTTTTGGTTTTGTTTTGGTTTGGTTTTTTTGTGGTTTTTTGGGGAGGCTGGGGGTGCCCAGGGATGCATTTCAGTCCTCCCCGCCGCCAGGGGGAGCCGCGCAGCCGCATCCCTCCGCTGCCCTTCCGCCATTTCCGCTTCCGGCGCGCTGCGTTTCCGGTTTCGCCGCCATTTTCGCCGCCATTGCCCCGGGCCCGGTGCTGCCGCCATGGGCGCTCACCTGGGCCGGCGCTACCTGTGGGACGCCGAGGCCGAGCCCGACCCGCTGCACATGCCGTCCTTCCCCGCCGAGCTGGGCATGCCGCTCCGCCAGCCGCGCGGTCAGTGCGGGGACACCGCCACACCGGGGGGGGACAGCGGGAGGGGACGCGGGGACACCGGCAGGGGACACGGGGGGGGGGCGCGGTGGCCTTGGGGTGACCCCCGTGACCTCCCGGTGCCACCCCCCGTGTCGTCTCCCTGTCCCCACGTGCCACACGGGTGTCGATGTCCCCGCGCTGCCACCCCGTGTCCCCTCTGTCACACCCTGTCCCCTGATTGTCCCCATTCCTGGCTGGGTGCTGCGTGTCCCTGAGTGTCCCCTCTGTCACACCCTGTCCCCTGATTGTCCCCGTTCCTGGCTGGGTGCTCAGTGTCCCTGAGTGTCCCCTCTGTCCCCTCTGTCACACCCTGTCCCCTGATTGTCCCCGTTCCTGGCTGGGTGCTCAGTGTCCCTGAGTGTCCGCTCTGTCCCCTTGTCCCCTCGGTTTGTCCCCATGTCCCAGCAGTGCTGAGTGTCCCCTCTGTCCCTGAATGTCCTTGACTGTCCTTGTCCCTGGGTGTCCCTGGGTGTCCCTGGGTGTCCCTGACTGTCCCTGACTGTCCCTGTCCCCTCTGTGTGACAGCCATGGTGGCCACAGCAGCACAGCTGGCCCATGGCCGTGTGTCCCTGACTGTCCTTGTCCCCTCTGTGTGACAGCCATGGTGGCCTCGGCCCATGGCCGTGTGTCCCTGACTGTCCTTGTCCCCTCTGTGTGACAGCCATGGTGGCCTCGGCCCAGGGCCGCGTGTCCCCTCTGTCCCTGACTGTCCCTGTCCCCTCTGTCCCCTGTCTGTGACAGCCATGGTGGCCACAGCAGCACAGCTGTCCCATGGCTGCGTGTCCCCTCTCTCTCACTGTCCTTGTCCCCTCTGTCCCCTGTCTGTGACAGCCATGGTGGCCTCGGCGGCGCAGCTGGCCCATGGCCGCGTGTCCCCTCTCTCTCACTGTCATTGTCCCCTCTGTGTGACAGCCATGGTGGCCTCGGCGGCGCAGCTGGCCCATGGCCGCGTGTCCCTGGAGCAGAGGGATTTCTGCGGGCACCACCTGCTGCGGCTGCTGCGCTGCCAGCGCGACAACTTCCCCGTGCCATGGGGCTGCCACGCGCTGCGCCACGCCTGGGACAGCTGCCAGCATGAGGAGTAAGGGACAGGGACATGGGGACACTGGGGACACTGGGGACATGGGGCTGCCACGCGCTGCGCCACGCCTGGGACAGCTGCCAGCACCAGGAGTAAGGGACAGGGACATGGGGACACTGGGGACATCATGGGGACACTGGGGACATCATGGGGACACTGGGGACATGGGGCTGCCACGCGCTGCGCCACGCCTGGGACAGCTGCCAGCATGAGGAGTAAGGGACAGGGACAGGGGGACATTGGGGACATCATGGGGACATGGGGCTGCCACGCGCTGCGCCACGCCTGGGACAGCTGCCAGCATGAGGACTAAGGGACAGGGGGACACTGGGGACATCATGGGGACACTGGGGACATGGGTACATCGGGGACATTGGGGACATCATGGAGACATCGGGGACATCATGAGGACATGGGGACACTGGGGACATCATGGGGACATGGGGCTGCCACGCGCTGCGCCACGCCTGGGACAGCTGCCAGCACCACGAGTAGGGGACATGGGGACACTGGGGACATGGGGGGACACAGCTGGGACAGTTGCCAGCACCAGGAGTAAGGGACATGGGGACACTGGGGGATATTGGGGACATCATGGGGGGGACACAGCTGGGACAGCTGCCAGCACCAGGAGTAAGGGACATGGGGACAGCGTGGGGACATCATGGGGACATGGAGGGACATCGGGGGGGGACACGGCTGCCAGCACCAGGAGCAGGACAAGGGGACACGGGGACAGCAGGGACACGTCTGGGCCGTGACGGGGACATGGCGGGATGTGGCTTGGGGACACGGGGCCACCACGGTGCCACCGCCACCCCGCTGTCTGTGCTCCTGCTGTGGCCGTGGTGACACGCGGTGACACGCGGTGACACACAGTGACACGGTGGTGACACGCGGTGACACACGGTGACACGGTGGTGACACATGGTGACACGGTGACACAGCGACACGGCGGTGACACGCGGTGACACGCTGGTGACACGCGGTGACACATGGTGACACACGGTGACACGATGGTGACACGCGGTGACATGGTGACACGCGGTGACACGGTGGTGACACGCGGTGACACATGGTGACACACGGTGACACACGGTGACACGGTGGTGACACATGGTGACACGGTGACACAGTGACACGGTGGTGACACGCGGTGACACGGTGGTGACACGCGGTGACACATGGTGACACACGGTGACACGATGGTGACACGCGGTGACATGGTGACACGCGGTGACACGGTGGTGACACGCGGTGACACATGGTGACACACGGTGACACGGTGGTGACACGCAGTGACATGTGGTGACACACGGTGACACGCGGTGACACGTGGTGACACGGTGGTGACACATGGTGACATGGTGACACGCGGTGACACGGTGCCACCTGTCCCAGCTACGTGATGCGCATGAAGGAGTTCGAGCGTGAGCGGCGCCTGCGGCTGAGGCAACAACGGCTGCGACAGCGCGGCGGGGACAGCGGGGACAGCGAGTGACACTGTGGGGACAAGGAGTAACAACAAGTGACACCTGAATGACACTGAGTGACACCGGGAACACTGCGGTGACACTGAGTGACACCCGCGACACCGAGTGACACTGAGTGGCACTGGGGACACCGTGGTGACACCGAGTGACACCGCAGTGACACTGAGTGACACCCGGGACACCAAGTGACACTGAGTGACACCTGAGTGGCACTGGTGACACCGAGTGACACTCAGGGGACTGAGTGACACCCAATCACACCGAGGACACCGCGGTGACACCTGAGTGACACCTGAATGACATTGGCAACACCGAGTGACACCTGAGTGACACTGGCAACACCTGAGTGACATCTGGGATACCGAGTGACACCCAAGTGACACTGGAGACACCGAGTGACACCGAGTGACACCCCGGTGACAGTGACACGAGGCCACCCCGCGCAATAAAGCTGTCAAGTGACATTGAGTGACACCGAGTGACACCCCGGTGACAGTGACACGAGGCCACCCCGCGCAGTATAGCTGTCAAGTGACACCGAGTGACACCCGAGTGACACCCCGGTGACAGTGACACGAGGCCACCCCGCGCAGTATAGCTGTCAAGTGACACCGAGTGACACCCGAGTGACACCCCGGTGACAGTGACACGAGGCCACCCCGCGCAATAAAGCTGTCAAGTGACACCGCGCTGGCTCGTCACTGCGTTGGGGACATCGCGAAGCCACCGCCCCCCCCAGCCTGGGGACAGCGGGATTGTCCCCAGAGGTGGCCCTGACCCCCCGGTGTCCCCTGGGAGGGGACAATGACAGGACACACACGGGTGGGGGATGGGATGGCGTTTATTGTCACCTGCGGGGACAGGGGGAGGGGTGGCACTGGGCAGGGGACATGTGGGGGTGACACCGCGGTGGCACCAGGGGTGGCTTCGGGTGACCGGGACAGCGCTGCAGGGGACACTGCCACTGGGGAGGTGACACTGCCACCAGAGAGGGGACACTGTCACCCTGGATGTGACACTGCCACCGTAGAGAGGACACTGCCACTGGGGAGGTGACACTGCCACCCTGAAAGTAACACTGCCACCAGAGAGGGGACACGAGGGATGGCACCCTGGAGGTGACACTGCCACCACAGAGGGGACACCAGGGATGGCACCCTGGAAGTGACACTGCCACCATGGAGGTGACACTGGGGATGGCACCCTGGAGGTGACACTGCCACTCGGAGGTGACACTGGGGATGGCACCCTGGAGGTGACACTGTCACCATGGAGGTGACACTGCCACTGGGGAGGTGACACTGGGGATGGCACCAGGAAGGTGACAAGGGACAGTGGGGCCACACTGCCATGTCCTGCTGTGACAGCAGGGTGACAAGGGACTCATGTCCCCTCGCTGTCCCCAGGGCTCAGGGCAGGACTGACGGGGACACATCGGGGTGTCCCCAACGTGTCCCCAGGGTGTCACAGCAGGGAGGGGACACTGGGGAATGTCCCCACGGCAGTGTCACAGCAGGAGGGGGACACTGGGGGCTGTCCCCGGGATGTCCCCAGGGCGGTGTCACAGCAGGAAGGGGACACTGGGGGCTGTCCCCAGGGCGGTGTCACAGCAGGGAGGGGACACTGGGGGCTGTCCCCAGAGCAGTGTCACAGCAGGGAGGGGACACTGGGGGCTGTCCCCAGGGCGGTGTCACAGCAGGGAGGGGACACTGGGGGCTGTCCCCAGGGCGGTGTCACATCAGGGAGGGGACACTGGGGGCTGTCCCCAGGGCGGTGTCACAGCAGGGAGGGGACACTGGGGGCTGTCCCCAGGGCGGTGTCACAGCAGGGAGGGGACACTGGGGGCTGTCCCCGCGGTGTCCCCAGGGCGGTGTCACAGCAGGGAGGGGACACTGGAGGATGTCCCCGGGCTGTCCCCAGGGCGGTGTCACAGCAGGAAGGGCACGATGGGCGAGCGCAGCGGCGGGTAGTCGCGGAACTCGCGCAGGTAACTGCGGTGCTTGCCCTGAGCCCAGATCGCCATCTGCACGAAACCCACCAGCGAGAACAGCGCCACTGCGGGGACAGCGACAGCGACAGCGCGGGGACCGCGGGGACAGCGACAGCGACAGCGTGGGGACCGCGGGGACAGCGACAGCGACAGCGTGGGGACCGCGGGGACAGCGACAGCGACAGCGTGGGGACCGCGGGGACAGCGACAGCGACAGCGTGGGGACCGCGGGGACAGCGACAGCGACAGCGCGGGGACAGGGACAGCGACAGCGCGGGGACAGCGACAGCGACAGCGCGGGGACCGCGGGGACAGCGACAGCGCGGGGACAGGGACAGCGACAGCGCGGGGACAGCGACAGCGACAGCGCTGGCACCGCGGCGACAGCGACAGCGACACCGCGGGGACAGCGACAGGGACAGCGCGGGGACCGCGGGGACATCTCAAATCCACCTCAAAATCCACCCAAATCCACCCCAAATCCCCCTAGATCACCCCAAAATCCACTCAAATCCGCCCAAAATCCTCCCCAAATCACCCCCAAATCCAACAGAAATCCAATACAAATCCCCCAAAATCCATTCCAAATCCACCCCAAATCCCCCCAAAATCCACTTAAAACACCCCAAATCCCCCCAAAATCCACTTAAAACACCACAAATCCCCCCAAAATCCACTTAAAACACTACAAATCCATCCAAAGCCCCCAAAATCCACCCAATCATCCCTAAATCTGCCCAAATCCACACCAAATCACCCCTAAATCCACCCCCAAATCCACACCAAATCCCCCCCAAATCCACATCAAATCCCTCCCAAATCACCCCAAAATCCCCCAAATCCCCCCAAAATCCCCCAAATCCCCCCAAAATACCCCAATATCCACCCCACAAATCCCCCCAAAATCCACTTAAAACACCACAAATCCCCCCAAAATCCACTTAAAACACTACAAATCCATCCAAAGCCCCCAAAATCCACCCAATCATCCCTAAATCTGCCCAAATCCACACCAAATCACCCCTAAATCCACCCCCAAATCCACACCAAATCCCCCCCAAATCCACATCAAATCCCTCCCAAATCACCCCAAAATCCCCCAAATCCCCCCAAAATCCCCCAAATCCCCCCAAAATACCCCAATATCCACCCCAAATCACCCCTATATCCACCCAAATGCCACCCAAATCCACCCAATCACCCCAAATCACCCCAAAAATCCAACCCAAATCCACCCAAATTCATCCCAAAATCCCCACAAAATCCACCCCAATCTACCCAAATCACCCCAAAATCCCTGAGGACCCCAGGGGTGGCACAGGGGACACAGAGCCGGGGTCCCTGGGGTGCCACCCCTCCCGTGTCCCCCCGTGTCCCCCCCGTGTCCCCTCACCGGGCAGGCACTGGGTCATGATGGTGAAACCGATCCAGGAGCCGACCTGGGGGGACAAACGGGGGGTGGGGGTGTCACCTTCAGGGTGTCACCTTTGGGGTGTCACCTTGGGAGTGTCACCTTCAGGGTGTCACCTAGGGGAGTGTCACCTTGGGGGTGTCACCGTGGGGGTGTCACCTTGGGGGTGTCACCTTCGGGGTGTCACCTATGGGGTGTCACCTTTGGGGTGTCACCTTGGGGGTGTCACCTTCAGGGTGTCACCTTTGGGGTGTCACCTTGGGAGTGTCACCTTCAGGGTGTCACCTAGGGGAGTGTCACCTTGGGGGTGTCACCGTGGGGGTGTCACCTTGGGGGTGTCACCTTCGGGGTGTCACCTATGGGGTGTCACCTTTGGGGTGTCACCTTGGGAGTGTCACCTTCAGGGTGTCACCTAGGGGAGTGTCACCTTGGGGGTGTCACCGTGGGGGTGTCACCTTGGGGGTGTCACCTTCGGGGTGTCACCTATGGGGTGTCACCTTTGGGGTGTCACCTTGGGGGTGTCACCTATGGGGTGTCCCCTTTGTGGTGTCACCTTGGGGTTGTCACCTTGGGGGTGTCACCTTTGGGGGTGTCACCTTTGGGGTGTCACCTTGGGAGTGTCACCTTCACGGTGTCACTTTTGGGGGTGTCAACTATGGGGTGTCACCTTGGGGGTGTCACCTAGGGGGTGTCACCTATGGGGTGTCACCTTGGGGGTGTCACCTTCAGGGTGTCACCTTGGGGGTGTCACCTTTGGGGGTGTCACCTTTGGGGTGTCACCTTGGGGGGTGTCACCTTCAGGGTGTCACCTTGGGGGTGTCACCTTTGGGGGTGTCACCTTTGGGGTGTCACCTTGGGGGGTGTCACCTTCAGGGTGTCACCTTGGGGGTGTCACCTTTGGGGGTGTCACCTTTGGGGTGTCACCTTGGGGGGTGTCACCTTCAGGGTGTCACCTTGGGGGTGTCACCTTTGGGGGTGTCACCTTTGGGGTGTCACCTTGGGGGGTGTCACCTTCAGGGTGTCACCTTGGGGGTGTCACCTTTGGGGGTGTCACCTTTGGGGTGTCACCTTGGGGGGTGTCACCTTCAGGGTGTCACCTTGGGGGTGTCACCTTTGGGGGTGTCACCTTTGGGGTGTCACCTTGGGGGGTGTCACCTTCAGGGTGTCACCTTGGGGGTGTCACCTTTGGGGGTGTCACCTTTGGGGTGTCACCTTGGGGGGTGTCACCTTCAGGGTGTCACCTTGGGGGTGTCACCTTTGGGGGTGTCACCTTTGGGGTGTCACCTTGGGGGGTGTCACCTTCAGGGTGTCACCTTGGGGGTGTCACCTTTGGGGGTGTCACCTTTGGGGTGTCCAAATCCCCCCAAAATCCACTTAAAACACCACAAATCCCCCCAAAATCCACTTAAAACACTACAAATCCATCCAAAGCCCCCAAAATCCACCCAATCATCCCTAAATCTGCCCAAATCCACACCAAATCACCCCTAAATCCACCCCCAAATCCACACCAAATCCCCCCCAAATCCACATCAAATCCCTCCCAAATCACCCCAAAATCCCCCAAATCCCCCCAAAATCCCCCAAATCCCCCCAAAATACCCCAATATCCACCCCAAATCACCCCTATATCCACCCAAATGCCACCCAAATCCACCCAATCACCCCAAATCACCCCAAAAATCCAACCCAAATCCACCCAAATTCATCCCAAAATCCCCACAAAATCCACCCCAATCTACCCAAATCACCCCAAAATCCCTGAGGACCCCAGGGGTGGCACAGGGGACACAGAGCCGGGGTCCCTGGGGTGCCACCCCTCCCGTGTCCCCCCGTGTCCCCCCCGTGTCCCCTCACCGGGCAGGCACTGGGTCATGATGGTGAAACCGATCCAGGAGCCGACCTGGGGGGACAAACGGGGGGTGGGGGTGTCACCTTCAGGGTGTCACCTTCAGGGTGTCACCTTTGGGGTGTCACCTATGGGGTGTCACCTTGGGGGTGTCACCTTCAGGGTGTCACCTTTGGGGTGTCACCTTGGGAGTGTCACCTTCAGGGTGTCACCTAGGGGAGTGTCACCTTGGGGGTGTCACCGTGGGGGTGTCACCTTGGGGGTGTCACCTTCGGGGTGTCACCTATGGGGTGTCACCTTTGGGGTGTCACCTTGGGGGTGTCACCTTCAGGGTGTCACCTTTGGGGTGTCACCTTGGGGGTGTCACCTATGGGGTGTCCCCTTTGTGGTGTCACCTTGGGGTTGTCACCTTGGGGGTGTCACCTTTGGGGTGTCACCTTGGGAGTGTCACCTTCACGGTGTCACTTTTGGGGGTGTCAACTATGGGGTGTCACCTTGGGGGTGTCACCTAGGGGGTGTCACCTATGGGGTGTCACCTTGGGGGTGTCACCTTCAGGGTGTCACCTTGGGGGTGTCACCTTTGGGGGTGTCACCTTTGGGGTGTCACCTTGGGGGGTGTCACCTTCAGGGTGTCACCTTCACGGTGTCACCTTGGGGGTGTCACCTATGGGGTGTCACCTTGCAGGTGTGACCTTTGGGGTGTCACCCATGGGGTGTCACCTTTGGGGTGTGCCACCATCCTCCACTGCGGTGACACCCCCGGAACAGCAATGTCCCCTCCTGTCCCCTCCCCCAGGGGTGCCCCCCACCCTCCAAACACCCCCCCAGGAAGTGCCCCCTGCTCCCGGTGTCCCCAGGGCTGCCACACCCCCCAGGTGTCCCCAGGGCTGTCACACCCCCCAGGTGTCCCCAGGGCTGTCACACCCCCCAGGTGTCCCCAGGTGTCCCCCCAGGTGTCCCCAGGTGTCCCCAGGTGTCCCTGACCTCGTAGGTGTAGTTGGGGCAGGACACGAGCAGGAAGAGCCACGTGAAGGGGTTGCGGGTGGGGTACGGGATCTTCCGCGTCTTGGAGCCTGCGGGGACACGGGGACACATCAGTGACACATGGGGACATGGGGACAGGGACAGTGACACAGGGACAGTGACAGGGACAGTGACACAGGGACAGTGACAGGGACAGTGACACAGGGACAGTGACAGGGACAGTGACACAGGGACAGTGACAGGGACAGTGACACAGGGACAGTGACAGGGACAGTGACACAGGGACAGTGACAGGGACAGTGACACAGGGACAGTGACAGGGACAGTGACACAGGGACAGTGACAGGGACAGTGACACAGGGACAGTGACAGGGACAGTGACACAGGGACAGTGACAGGGACAGTGACACAGGGACAGTGATACAGGGACATGGGGACACATCAGTGACACGGGGACACGGGGACAGGGACAGTGACACGGGGACAGTGACACAGGGACACACCAGTGACACGGGGACACTGTGACACAGGGACACTCGGACACAGGGACAGTGACACAGGGGCACCCCCAGACATGGGGACACATCAGTGACACTGTGACACAGTGACACATGGGGACATAGTGACATGGGGACAGTGACACAGGGACACCTGTGACACACGGGGATGCAGTGACACAGGGACACAGGGACAGTGACACAGGGGCACCCCCAGACATGGGGACACATCAGTGACACTGTGACACAGGGACACAGGGACACGGGGACAGTGACACACGGGGACACAGTGACACACAGGGACACGGTGACACACAGGGACACAGGGCCATGGGGGGACATCAGTGACACATGGGGACACACACGGGTGGCACGGGGACACATCAGTGACACTCCCGGACATGGGGGACACCGCTGACACACCGGTGACATCCCGTGGGACACAGGGACACAGCGGGGACAGGAGGGGACACTGGTGATACACGGGGACACAGGAACACACGGGGGGACACAGGGACACAGTGACACACGGGGACACGGGATGACACCGGTGACACCCCCAGACACGGGGACACACAGGTGACACCCCCAGGACACGTGTCACCCCCCAGGCCACCCCCCGGACAGGTGCCACCCTCCGTGTCCCCTCCTGTCCCCACCGTGTCCCTGCCAGCCCCCGGCTGCTCCCTCGTGTCCTTGTGGCCTCTGCACCGCCGTGTCCCCAGTGTCCCCAATCCCCCCATGTCCCCCCTGTCCCCTCCCGCTGGGGACACGGGGGACATGGGGGACACTGGGGACACGGGGGACATGGGGGACACTGGGGACACGGGGGACATGGGGGACACTGGGGACACGGGGGACATGGGGGACACTGGGGACACGGGGGACATGGGGGACACTGGGGACACGGGGGACATGGGGGACACTGGGGACACGGGGGACATGGGGGACACTGGGGACACGGGGGACATGGGGGACACTGGGGACACGGGGGACATGGGGGACACTGGGGACACGGGGGACATGGGGGACACTGGGGACACGGGGGACATGGGGGACACTGGGGACACGGGGGACATGGGGGACACTGGGGACACGGGGGACATGGGGGACACTGGGGACACGGGGGACATGGGGGACACTGGGGACACGGGGGACATGGGGGACACTGGGGACACGGGGGACATGGGGGACACTGGGGACACGGGGGACATGGGGGACACTGGGGACACGGGGGACATGGGGGACACTGGGGACACGGGGGACATGGGGGACACTGGGGACACGGGGGACATGGGGGACACTGGGGACACGGGGGACATGGGGGACACTGGGGACACGGGGGACATGGGGGACACTGGGGACACGGGGGACATGGGGGACACTGGGGACACGGGGGACATGGGGGACACTGGGGACACGGGGGACATGGGGGACACTGGGGACACGGGGGACATGGGGGACACTGGGGACACGGGGGACATGGGGGACACTGGGGACACGGGGGACATGGGGGACACTGGGGACACGGGGGACATGGGGGACACTGGGGACACGGGGGACATGGGGGACACTGGGGACACGGGGGACATGGGGGACACTGGGGACACGGGGGACATGGGGGACACTGGGGACACGGGGGACATGGGGGACACTGGGGACACGGGGGACATGGGGGACACTGGGGACACGGGGGACATGGGGGACACTGGGGACACGGGGGACATGGGGGACACTGGGGACACGGGGGACATGGGGGACACTGGGGACACGGGGGACATGGGGGACACTGGGGACACGGGGGACATGGGGGACACTGGGGACACGGGGGACATGGGGGACACTGGGGACACGGGGGACATGGGGGACACTGGGGACACGGGGGACATGGGGGACACTGGGGACACGGGGGACATGGGGGACACTGGGGACACGGGGGACATGGGGGACACTGGGGACACGGGGGACATGGGGGACACTGGGGACACGGGGGACATGGGGGACACTGGGGACACGGGGGACATGGGGGACACTGGGGACACGGGGGACATGGGGGACACTGGGGACACGGGGGACATGGGGGACACTGGGGACACGGGGGACATGGGGGACACTGGGGACACGGGGGACATGGGGGACACTGGGGACACGGGGGACATGGGGGACACTGGGGACACGGGGGACATGGGGGACACTGGGGACACGGGGGACATGGGGGACACTGGGGACACGGGGGACATGGGGGACACTGGGGACACGGGGGACATGGGGGACACTGGGGACACGGGGGACATGGGGGACACTGGGGACACGGGGGACATGGGGGACACTGGGGACACGGGGGACATGGGGGACACTGGGGACACGGGGGACATGGGGGACACTGGGGACACGGGGGACATGGGGGACACTGGGGACACGGGGGACATGGGGGACACTGGGGACACGGGGGACATGGGGGACACTGGGGACACGGGGGACATGGGGGACACTGGGGACACGGGGGACATGGGGGACACTGGGGACACGGGGGACATGGGGGACACTGGGGACACGGGGGACATGGGGGACACTGGGGACACGGGGGTGGCAGGGACAGGGACAGGGATGGGGACAGGGAGGGGGACAGGCATGGGGACACCCCCACTGTCCCCTCCTGCTGGGGACACGGGGGTGGCAGGGACAGGGACAGTCACAGCCCCTGCGTGTCCCCTGGAGGCACAGGGGGACAAGGGGACACGGTGATGGGGACACTGGGGACACAGAGGGGACAGTGACAGTGACAGGGACAGTGACACCGACAGTGACAGTGACAGTGACAGGGACACTCACCTGGCGGGGTGTACAGCAGGTGGCTGATGTAATGGGGACAGGGACAGTGACAGTGACAGGGACAGGGACAGTGACACTCACCTGGCGGGGTGTACAGCGGGTGGTTGATGTAATGGGGACAGTGACAGGGACAGTGACAGGGACAGGGACAGTGACACTCACCTGGCGGGGTGTACAGCGGGTGGTTGATGTAATACGCCATCCAGGCCGCGAAGCCCCAGTAGTAGGTGCAGTTCTGGGGACATTGGGGACACGTTGGGGACGCGTTGGGGACACGTTGGGGACGCAGCAGTGGCAGGCAGGGGACACCTGGGGACAGCCAGGTGTGCGGTGCTGCCACGGAGGGGACACAGGCAGATGACCCAGGTGACAGTGACACCTGGACGATGTCACACGGGATCGGGGCTGGGCGGGGACAGGGGGTGGCAGAAGTGACACAGGGGGGACACGGAGGTGACCCAGGTGACAGTGACACCTCAGAGATGTGTCAGAAGTGGTGGGGACAGGGACAGGGAGGGGACAGGGACAGGGAGGGGACAGGGCCGTGCCTGGAGCACTGGGGCACAGTGACACTGGTGGCAGAGGTGACAGGGACAGTGACACACAGGTGGCACAGGTGCTGCCGGGGCAGTGACACAGGTGACAGAGGTGGCACACAGGTGGCAGTGTCACCTTGAAGATGCGCAGGGGCATGGTGCCACGCGAGAAGGGATGGGGACAGGGAGGGGACAGGGCAATGGCGGGGCAGTGACACAGGTGACACACAGGTGACGGGCGGGTGTCACAGGTGTCACCTTGAAGATGCGCAGGGGCATGGTGCCACGCGAGAAGGGATGGGGACAGGGACAGGGCGGTGCTGGGGCGGTGTCACAGGTGACAGAGGTGGCACACAGGTGTCACACCTTGAAGATGTTGCGCAGGGCCATGGTGCTGTGTGAGAAGGGATGGGGACAGGGAGGGGACAGGGCAGTGACACAGGTGCCGGGGCAGTGCTGGGGGTGTGACACAGGTGACAGAGGTGGCACACAGGTGTCACACCTTGAAGATGTTGCGCAGGGCCATGGTGCCGTGTGAGAAGCGCTGGGGACAGGGAGGGGACAGGGCAGTGACACAGGTGCCGGGGCAGTGCTGGGGGTGTGACACAGGTGACAGAGGTGGCACACAGGTGTCACACCTTGAAGATGTTGCGCAGGGCCATGGTGCCGTGTGAGAAGCGCTGGGGACAGGGAGGGGACAGGGCAGTGACACAGGTGCCGGGGCAGTGCTGGGGGTGTGACACAGGTGACAGAGGTGGCACACAGGTGTCACACCTTGAAGATGTTGCGCAGGGCCATGGTGCCGTGTGAGAAGCGCTGGGGACAGGGAGGGGACAGGGCAGTGACACAGGTGCCGGGGCAGTGCTGGGGGTGTGACACAGGTGACAGAGGTGGCACACAGGTGTCACACCTTGAAGATGTTGCGCAGGGCCATGGTGCCGTGTGAGAAGCGCTGGGGACAGGGAGGGGACAGGGCAGTGACACAGGTGCCGGGGCAGTGCTGGGGGTGTGACACAGGTGACAGAGGTGGCACACAGGTGTCACACCTTGAAGATGTTGCGCAGGGCCATGGTGCCGTGTGAGAAGCGCTGGGGACAGGGAGGGGACAGGGCAGTGACACAGGTGCCGGGGCAGTGCTGGGGGTGTGACACAGGTGACAGAGGTGGCACACAGGTGTCACACCTTGAAGATGTTGCGCAGGGCCATGGTGCCGTGTGAGAAGCGCTGGGGACAGGGAGGGGACAGGGCAGTGACACAGGTGCCGGGGCAGTGCTGGGGGTGTGACACAGGTGACAGAGGTGGCACACAGGTGTCACACCTTGAAGATGTTGCGCAGGGCCATGGTGCCGTGTGAGAAGCGCTGGGGACAGGGAGGGGACAGGGCAGTGACACAGGTGCCGGGGCAGTGCTGGGGGTGTGACACAGGTGACAGAGGTGGCACACAGGTGTCACACCTTGAAGATGTTGCGCAGGGCCATGGTGCCGTGCGAGAAGGGATGGGGACAGGGAGGGACAGGGGACAGCCAGGGACAGCCAGGGACACCGGGGGGACAGCCAGGGGACAGGGCTGGGGTCACCTGGGGACAGCCAGGGGACAGCCAGGGGACAGGGTGGGACACACAGGGGACAGGGTGGGACACACGGGGACACCCAGGGGACAGCCAGGGACAGCCAGGGACACCGGGGGGACAGCCAGGGGACAGGGCTGGGGTCACCTGGGGACAGCCAGGGGACAGCCAGGGGACAGCCAGGGACACCCCAAACAAGGGGTCACAGGCTGTGACCAAGAGCTCCCCCAAATTGCTCCCCCAGGAGCCCCTTGGGGACACCACGACCCCCCTGTGACCCCCAGTGTCCCCGGTGTCCCCAGTGTCCCCCCAGTGTCCCCAATGTCCCCAATGTCCCCAGTGTCCCCAATGTCCCCATTGTCCCCATTGTCCCCCCGGTGTCCCCAGTGTCCCCAGTGTTCCCATTGTCCCCAATGTCCCCCCGGTGTCCCCAGTGTCCCCCCGGTGTCCCCAGTGTCCCCCAGTGTCCCCAATGTCCCCAATGTCCCCGGGGTCCCCACTGTCCCCCCGGTGTCCCCATTGTCCCCCCGGTGTCCCCAGTGTCCCCAGTGTCCCCCCGTGTCTCACTGGACCACGCGGTGCCGGCTGGCAGTGACTGTCCCCAGTGTCCCCAGTGTCCCCACTGTCCCCAATGCCCCCAGTGTCCCCATTGTCCCCATTGTCCCCCAGTGTCCCCAGTGTCCCCATTATCCCCATTGTCCCCCCGGTGTCCCCATTGTCCCCCCGGTGTCCCCAGGTCCCCAATGTCCCCAGTGTCCCCCAGTGTCCCCAGTGTCCCCAGTGTCCCCAATGTCCCCTCCTGTCCCCAATGTCCCCCGTCCCAGTGTCCCCAGTGTCCCCAGTGTCCCCCTGTGTCCCAGTGTCCCCAATGTCCCCAATGTCCCCCAGTGTCCCCATTGTCCCCAGTGTCCCCAGTGTCCCCCCGTGTCTCACTGGACCACGCGGTGCCGGCTGGCGGTGAAGTCGTAGCGGGGCCCGTACAGGAACGGCACCCGGAAATAGAACAGCAGGTAAATGAGGAGGGGGCCCGCGTACTCCGTCAGGAACACCTGCACAGGT